CTTAAATAGACAAGTCACAAAAGTAGTTATCCAAATGGCCAATAAACATGAAAAAAAGATACTGAACATCATTAATCATAAGGGGAATGCAAATTAAAAGTACAATGAGTTATCAATATATACCCATCAAGTGTTAGGAACTTAAAAAATAAAAACTGAACTTGGGTAATTGAAACCCAGTACCTAGGCAACCAAAGGGCATCTTATTTTTCTTTAGCTGTGTGTTCACTCTTTGGAGGCTAGCCACACTGAACTATGTATGATTTCCCACTATGCCATGTGACTTCCAGCCTCTATGTCTCTGCATATGTTGCTCTTCATTCTGCAACACACACTCCTCCTTCCTTTGGTTCCCCTGCCCAATCTTGTTCATCTGATAAACTCCAGCTCCTTTAACACTCCTCTAAGAAGCATCTTCCACCCCAGAAGAGTTAGACTCTTCCTCCTCCTGGCTCCCATGATAGCCTATGAAAACCACTTTTCATAGTGTATTGTCTAATTGCTTATACTCCTGTTCAACTTCCCTTTTGGTCATTTTTTTGTGACAAGAATGACTTTCCAACCTTCTCCTCTGGTCAACTTCTGCATTCTTCAAGCATTAATACATCCCTGAAGTCTGTGCTTATCTACACTCCATTCTTTTAACAAGCATTTTTCAACTTTTCATTAGCTGTTTACCATATTGCTAGTTACTATACTTATTATGTGTGAGTTCATTGTTTTGTGTATATTAGCACATTCTCTCAGGTAGATTGTAATTGCTTGAAAGGCAGAAACCACAGTGAATGAGAGGGAAGACTTTCTATGGATATTACATAAATGGTCAGCCCAGTGCTGGGTACACAGTGCATGTACCCAGAATCATAACATATCAGAATGATATGAGTTATTTTATAAACAAGCTGACATATTAAAGTGATTATGATGGTACCAGACACATGGTAAGCTCAGCTAATTTATTTGTTTCAGGAATCCAAATGACCATTTTGCCTCAGTCTTTTAAATGAAAACAGACATTTACATAATCAGGACAAATGCTAAGCAAAATTGTGTAACAAAAAATCCATCCTGAACACCTTCCCACTTACCTTTCCATTAATCATTTCTCCCTTTCTCACTCTCTAGTGACTTCCTGACCCCTACCTGACATGAGTGCATTCATGCTTGTCCAGACTACCCTCTATGTTTCCCTGTCCCTCTCTTCACAGCACGCCACCTAGTCCAACCTCCCCCGATACGTGCCTTGGGCTCTGAAACTACCATTTCCCTCTACTCATGCAGAGTTTACCAGCCTTGAACTCCAACTGACAAGTGTTCTCATAGCTGAATTCCCTCTGGGATATGAATCGCTAATAATGTTGATAACGTATAGTCACATTCCTTCTCCCAGGAGTGTGTCCATATTAAGAGGGAGACATCATGTTTTGACTCTAAAGAAATGATTATCCAATGGTTTCATTCTAGGCAAGCTGGAACTGGGACAATGCTTTGGGGAAGTGGCCTCATCTTTGCATTCCTTGAATATATCCATAGGTTTGGGCTTTAAGGATAGAAATGTATATATCCCCTAAGGATAATCTCACCCTTACATCCACTATACAGTGAAACAATGATCTACCAGCAAGTCTACATCATTTTATTAAATCAGATGACACCAGTATCCAGAGGCTTAAAACTGTACTGCATAACAGAAAAGTCTAACAGGATGATCGTGGCTGCAACTCACTGCCAATGCTCTAAAGATCTGGAATCTATAAAACTGAACAAATAGCAATTATCCAACATATTTAGATAAAATGTAGCTTTTAGTCAGGAAAAGCTTCAAAGACTACCTGTGCAATGTTTCTTTTACAATTTTGCTTTTCATTTTAAAAGTTTTTCAGTTGACAAAGACAATTTTCTATCCAACTAGAGCTGGTATTTGGTAGTATTTTTTTGGTTACTATTCAAGTCATCTCCGATCTGTAGGTAAGGTAGAAGTTTCTTTTCTTTCTTTTTTTCTTTCTTTTTTTTTGCTATTTTTGAACAAAATATAATAGTGAGAAAGCCACATGGGCTCTATCCATTTCAGAATTAAGCAAAATCATAGTGTTGCAGGCAAGACAAAAAGCAGCTGGGGTTCTCTACCTGTTAAACACATTTTTAAAAAATATGACATAAAGCTCAATTCAATACCTTTCAATTTTGTGTACTTGAAAAGCACTGGTAGAAAATGGCATTTCTGTGGTTGTCATCCAATTTGTCCCATTGTATGTGCTATTACAGCCATAGGTTTCAAGCCTTAATGGCATAGTTCTCTCAGGAAGTGGAGGATAAAGTTGAGCTCCAATTCCGACCCACAAAGTAACGGTAAACCCGACCAGTAGACCAACAAGTGCTCCCTGCAAAACAGGAGTGATTTTAAAAGAACAGTAATACAGTTTGCTTTGTAATGGAAATTAACATTA